TTTTAGAATAGAGACTAGAAGTAGCAGTACTATATAATTTTTACAATTTGCTCTGACTAGGGCTTCGGTCCTCTTTTTGTTTTTTCTTTTTCTTACTATTACATGTTTGTTTTGCTGTTTTGTTTTGATTTGAGTTTTGTTTGTTTACTTTTGGTTTTTTTAGTTGTATTCTTATTTGTATTCAATTTTATAATACCTCTCTTTTTTTGGCCCTTTGAGAAGAAGAAAAAATTTAAAGAAAGGATTGAAGACAGTTAATGCTTGTCTCAAAAGAGAGAAATCCTTTCTGGTATGGCTTTAAGTAGCCAGATAAGCAGTCTATCTCTAACTGAGATAGTGTAGCAGGTTGCACTTAGATATCAATAAGATGGCTGGGTGATGCTAAACTTAATTATTGGAAAAATTCTATATAGTTATTATATATAGTTGCAAGAATTTTAATAAAGTATTAGCATAGCTGCTTAAAAGCAAAAAAAAAAAAAAAAAAAAAAATTAGACAATAAAAAGGCTAAAAAAAGGCATGTTTCTTAAATTACTACTTATAAATAGTATAATTTGCAGTATATTAAGAATATTTTTATAATTCTTAAAATAAATTAAAAATTTTTATATATATTTGCTTTTTTTAAATATTTTTAAAATATTTTGAATTTATTTAGACTTTTTTACTAATTTTTGTAACTATTTATTTTAGATTTATTTAATAAAACTCAAGATACTAAAAATAAATTGTAAAACTTTTTTGTTTTTACTTTTTTTAATTTTCAGATAATCTTTTTTTTTTAGCTAAGTTAAAGTGAATTGAAAAATAGAAATTTAATATTTAACTGAAATTGTTTTGTTTTTTGTTTTATTTATTAATACATTTTTTATTAAATATTACAGATTATTTGAAACTTTTAAAAATTTAAAAATTTGCAATATTTTTACTTTTTATAAATTTTTTATTTAGAAATATTTTTTTTTTATTTTTATTTATTATTTTATTTGTATTTGATATATTGTTTTTGCTTTTGCTAAGACTATAGTTATTAGCAGCTATTGCTTTTATTGTATTTTAATTATGATTATATAACTTGTACAAAATAAATTTACAACTAGCCATATATACAACTTTTAGTTGTCTATTTTAAGTAGTCTGCTTGCATAACAGGTTCTACACTAGCTATTATACCTGCAATCTACTAGAAGATTATCTATTTAAACACTCTAATCTTTATACTTATATCAACAAATAGTGTATAAGTTTCTGTACACTGAAGTATTATCTAATCTAACTTTGACCTTTCTGTCTGTATATCTATTAAGCCATTACACCTTTCAGAGTATATCATCTAATTGTAAGATTTAGAAGGCCCTTTGCTAACTAACTATTCACATTTAGTCTCTTGTTAACAGAGTTTATTCTTGCAGAATTTATCTAAACTTTAGCACCAACTTCATAGCATATTCATAGTACTTATAGTATACCTCTGCTTCTGACCTCAAACTTTTAATCCAGATAGCTCAGAAGAACTATGATCTATTTCTAGTATTCTAGGGTTTGACCTTTTTCTTTAGTTTAAGACTTCTGATGATCTGATTGGTAATATCTCTTATATAAGGTTTTTGCTTGCCTAATTCCTTTTATATTAGTATTTATTTTTTAGATCTAACCTTTATAGTGATACTGTTAAAGATCTGTGCTATCTTTCTACTTGTGTATTTCTAGGTGGGCTCTAGCTTTTCAGTTCATAAATTTATATAACTATAAAGACTTATCTTAGGTTTGCACTACCCAATGCCAGTTTGTATTCTTCTGTATAACTCCAACATTGTGCAGATGCCTCATAATCTGTCAGTCATGCTGGTGTGACTATGTTACAGGTATCTTATTCTAACTGATCAACAGAATGCTATTATTATAATATTGTCTATATATTACATAGATGATTATTCAAATTTTTACTATCAGTAGGTTTTGAACTTACTACCTACTACTTGAAAGATTAACAACTTATCTACTTCACTAGGTCATTATAACTTTGTATTTGATATATACATTTTTTTTATTTTTTATTTATTTTTTTTATTTATAATGCCAATTATAATACTTTATTTAATTAATATTGAATTAATATATTAGAGTTATTATATTTTATTTGTGCTACTATATAACTATATAAACATCTAATATGTAGTGTTTGTAGTTGATTTTATGTTAGTCAATTTTATCAACTTAGCTAGCTAAGTTAGCTGATTTTTTAAAAAATCAGCTTAGTCATAATCAACTTAATATTGGGTTATATTGAAATTATAATAACCAATCAAATTTTACCAAAAAAAGAAATGCATGCAAGTAATAACAATAATAACTACTATCAACTATAGATATAATATAGCCTATTCGTTATATATATCTATATATCTATATACCATATAACAGAATTAATAACAGAGTTAGGCTGGATTTCGTTATAATGGTTAATATATATATATATATATTGCATTCTTATTGGTTGCAAGTTGTCACATTATATTGAATTCATTATATAGATTAAAATTTTATAATAAAATCGGTATATGGGCTGGCAAAGAGTTCTGTTATATGTAATATGACTTTATTACTATTAAATCTGTTATAACCATTATATATTATATATTAAAAATTCGGTACTTCAAATTTGGTTTGTTAAACTAGTAATTCTGGTATAAGGATATCTGTTATATCCATAGTTAACAGTAGAAATAAAATGTAGTTGTAAATAAATTTGTATTCAATCAGGTAAACAGTTTGCAGTATCTCACATATATTATCAGCTATCAAGAATTCTAATTTTTGTGATGTGCAATTGAAACTGATTATATACAGATAATAATATTGATATGCAATACATACATATACACATAAGCTAGTTTTCTTAATCAGGAAGATAATTACTAGGATGTAAATTTTACTACTTTTTGACTTCTCTAACTAACAACGATCTTACAAATTAGCAATAAATTATGCATGCTAACCTGAAATTTATAGAAAACTATGTAAAGGTCTAAAACCTTGTTTTTATAACAAGATAATGTGCTGATTACATAGATACACATCACTGTAAATATCATACCAGTATGAGTAATCTTCCATTATAGTATTAGATAACAATATGATTAATAAAGTGACCAAAATCAAATGAAAAAAAATTTTTTTACTTAATGAAACTTTTTTTAATGCAAATTTGTATGCCTCATGACCATTCATGAAAACCAAAACTGATTTGCTCCAAAAAAAATTATTTGTGACATTATAACTATAGTAAACCCTTGTTATAGTAAAGATTCGATGTAATAAAAATTTGAAATCAAACATTCAACCAGTATTAACAATTGGACTAAATAGACTTATTTTCAATCAGAACTAACATATGCCTAATTAAAATTGAATATATGTCTAATTTCGAATAAACAATATCCAATTTCTGCAATTAGTCCAATTGGTGAACTGATTTCAATTGATAAAACATATATAGTATTCTCTCAATGTAAGATAGCTATAATAAAGTTATTTGTACATACTGTATAATATTATAGCCATATAATATTATACTATTGCATGATGTGAAATCTAGCTTGGGTATAGGAAAATCTTAGCATGACTGACTTTGCGTTCTAGAATAAACATATCACATTTATGCATATTAATGCCCATGGGCATTATTTAGACATACAATTTAAAGAGAACTAATAATTAATTTAGCCAAAGACAATAACAAAACAATGAATCATGTTTGGCTAAATTAATTATTAATTCTCTTTAAATTGCACATCTCTAAATAATGCTTATGGGTATTAATTCACATAAATATTGTATTCTCTAGTTCAAATAATCTTGCAACTTAAATTCTAATAAAAATTTTTGATTTAAATAAATATGCATAAAAAAAAGTAATATAATGCATCAAAATTTGTATTGCCATTCTTACTATTATATAAAATCAAAGACCAATCTATACAATTATTATAAGTTTTAGTATAATCTGTCTCTTAAAAATGTCTAGCAACTAATTGTTTGATAAAATTATCAGTGAAGATAACATGTCATTTGAGTATGAAGAAATCTCTAATTTTGAAAATAGTTTTGACGAAAATATTATTAATAATGAAAATATTATTGATGATAGAAATGATAACTATTATGAAGATGATGGTTATATTGAAGATGAAGAGAATAATACGACAGGAACTTTGCCTATTACATCTTATTTTACTCTCAAAATAGGACCTACAAAAAAAAAGTTCAAACCCAAATGTAATACAAAAAAAAAAAAGTAAACATGTAATCAGCTGGGTATAGAAGTATACTTACTATGATAAATTAACAAAAATTAAACATTGTGATATTAATATATATAATGATGATGGTACTTCAAAAAAGTGTACAATAGTGTTTATACCTAAAACAGCAACAACCAATATAGCTATGCATTTAAGAACTAAATACAGAATTTATAAAAATCAAAAATAGAAAGCATAACCACCAAACAACAACTACAACTCCTATGTCAACCCCCTAACAAACAATCGAAGCAGTTTTTCAAAAGCAAATAGAAAACACATTACTCCTTCCTGAAAAACAGCAAAATCATATTAGCTATCATCTTGTTGCCTGGATTGTTAAGGAAATAATACTATTAAATTGTATTAACTATGATCAGTTCTGAGACTTTTGTTATAAGATCAATTAATAATTTGAAGTTCCCTGTATTAACATAATTAAAAATTTAATTAAAGAATCAGTACTTTACACAGATGCAACATTAAATGAAATGATGTCTTAAACAATGGTTTCTGTTTGCATTATTACTAATTTATGGACCCAAAACCATGTTTCATATATCAGCATAACAGCTCACTGGATTTCTAAAAACTTTACAATGTACCAATCTTTAATCACAATCAAGCATTTTACCTATCCACATACAAAAGATTAGATTGAAGATTTTTTGTACAAAGCTCTTGCTAAATGGAATATGTTTGATAAAATTAAAGCAGTGATAACTGACAATGCAACATCAATAGTTAAAGCAATAAGACAATTAGGCACCACCCACCTTGGCTGTACAACACATACTATTCATCTTGTGGTTACTGATGGTTTAAAAAAAAGTAAAACTTTAATTTCATAAGCAAAATCATTAAATAATTTTTTGGTAAATTGTAATAAATACAGATCATTATTCTGAAAAATTCAGTAAAAGTTAATTGAAAAAAAAAAAATCAATATACTACTAATATGCATATTTTAGAACCTATATCAAGTGATACAGCTACTAGATAGAATTCTACTTATTTTGTTCTCTAGCAGCTTCTAGAACTTCAAGAATCAACTTTAAAATTGGCTAAAAGTTTGGAAAATGATCCTGACCATACTGCTCGTGCCAATGGTTTTAGCCTAAATGAAAAAATACTTTCTGATGAAGAATAGATAGATAAAAAAAAAAAAAAGTTTTAAAATGAATATATACCTCTTTTTTTGTTTTATATTATTTTATCAATAAGTTATTCAGCCATCTAAAGTTAATTTTTTGGTTCTCATAATATAAAATTTAAAAATGATCTGGCACTTAGCTTTTAATTTTATTTCAAAAACTTATATACAAAATTTTTAAAAAAACCACTTAAATAGTAAATATACATAAAATTTATTTAAAAATTTTACTTGGCTAGGCTATGAGAACCAAAAAATTAACTTTGCTTGGCCTTATTAATATTTAAAAAAAAATTTTTTTATTCTTATGCAAAGGCCTAGAAGAGTTGTGTCAACTTTTACATCTATTTGCAAGAGCACTAATATTTATAGGAGGTGATCAGTATTCAACATTGAGTATGATGTATCTAACAGTGTGACATCTTTTTAAAAATTTAGACCAAATAGAGAACAAACTTACAAATATTGATGTTATTGAAGTGCACAAAAGTTTTCACAAATCAATAGTATTATGATGAAGTGATCCAAAAATGGTCAAATAGCTTGCTTCATTTCTAGATCCCTGTTTTAAGGCATTATCAGCTGTCTTACCCACAATGCAATAAAAGATGCTTCAAGAATTATGTAAAAAAATTGAACTTTCTTCCCACACAAATAACTAACCAACTATTAATAAAGCTCTAGATACAGAAATGTCTTCTTTTTTTGGTAACGGAATCGATCCTTCAACATCTTCTTCAATTAATACTGAAATTCAAATATACCTTTCAATTTCACAAATTCCTAAATATGATTCAAAAGATCCATGTTATGAAAAGTGTAATCCTTTAGGTTGATAAAATGAGCACAAAAGTGCCTTACCTTTCCTCACAGAGCAAGCATAAATTTTTCTTAGCATTCTGGCGATCTCTGTACTCTCTGAATGGCTCTTCTTTGACATGGGTAATATGTAACAGATAAATGTAACCATTTAAGCACAGATTTAGTTCATGATTTATTATTTTTTAAAAAAAACTCAAAAATAATTAATGTATATATTGGCTTGTAAATCGAATTGCAAGAAATGGTGACACAAGTCATCCTATGACTTGTATGTCAAGAGATTAAAAAGAAAAAAAATCATGTATGAGAAAAAAGTTTAAATTAAAATAAAATTTTTTCTTTATTTTTTTTTGTTTTTTTTTAAATTTGTAATTTATTAATAAAGACAACTGTATGTGATCAAACAGAAGAAAACCAATTAAATCATAAGGCTTAAAAAAAATAAAAAATATGAAAAATAATGCAAAATTAAAGTAAAAATTGAATTAAATTTAGAATAATTGTATTATTTTTTTGTGAAGTAAACAAGTGTATAATACAGTATTTCTGTTTATTTAACTAATAGCAAACTATATAACTTCTAATATTATTATCTATAATAATAAAAACTTGGTAGGCATTGGATGGGCCCAAATTTTAAACAATAATATAATACATACCTTCCAAGCCCAAATAAGATACTGGCCCTGCTC